AAAATGCAGGGGCATGGTCGTGTGGGTACCTATAATCCCATCACTCTGAGGTTGGGAAAGGAGGATAACAAATTGGAAATTTAGCAAGACTCTGTTTCAAAATAATAAAAAAAAAAATAACATAGGGCTGATAATATTGCTTAATGCAAGGTGCTGGGTACCACAATTCCCAGTACCAGAAAAATTTAAAACCCACATATCTGTCCAACTCAACACTAAGAGATCAAAAATCAACTATCTTGTGAACCCAAGAGAATAGCTGTTCCTTAAGATCTTATTAAACCACTAAGTTCCAGTCTGGTCAAAATGTATTTCAGGGCTGTGTGCAGTTTTCAGTGAGATTACTAAGCACATCTGTGGCTGTGGCACTGGTAGTGTTCTTCCATGGCAGGTTATTTACCTTCTTGTTATCAATTGCGGTATGTGTTCAAGTAAGTGAAGCATCTTCACTGATACCTATCATCAGAACTTTGAATGCCAGCTCTGACTTGAATGGAAACAAGGATGCAAAAGTGAAAATGGGCTGAAAGAAAGACTGCCTCTCGTGAATGGCAGGTGAAGGTTCAGTGACCCTGGGCACAGCAGTCCTTTCTGGGGAATCACTGCTTTGGGGAGGTGAGCAATCCCAGGGCTCATAAAATTTGATGATATTAAGAAGAGGGAAGGAATTCATACTTGAGATGTCAGGGTCACTGTAAGAAATACAGCTTTAAAAATTCAAGAGTAAGAAAAAAGTACTATATTTAAAAATGAATTGCTAATGCTTTTCCTTTTAAAAGTATTGGGAGAAATCCACATCATACCAGCATTCATTACTTATTCAATGTACACCATTGGGAGATAAATAGAACTGTTAGAACACAAAAATGCCATGGGTAATTCAGCGCCTGCGGTGTACGTGTGGCATAACTGATATGTCATGACACACAATTTTCTAAAAGCTATTCTGTTAGGAGGCAATAAATGAGTGCATAAATGATTTATATTCTTTTGAACCATAGTTATTATTCAGTATTTTATTTTTAAAAATATATATACCCTATACTATTATGTTTATTCTCCAGAGTATAATAAAAACATAATTGAATTTGATGAAAAATAGACTTGATTCGAAATGTAGCATATAGCCTGTGCAGCTACTCCCTTATTTTATCCCCTGAGAAGATCAATGGTCACTCGAGGTGGTTCTGCTCTAGGTTCATTTTAATATATAGGCAATAAAATATTTTTTAATTTTAAAATTATAGGTTTATATTCTATACTATATTTTCTTTTTAATATTAACATCTAAGTTTCGATCTAGATAACAATTTATATACATAAAGTGCAATATTTTAATCACTGTTTTGTTTTTAAACATTTTTTATTAACCAAGTAGGGAAGGAAATTAAGTACAGGTGGCTCAGCAAACAAAAACGAAGCAATATAGAGAAATATATGGGGAGAATAACTTCCTTTGTTTTGATCAAGCCTAAATGCCACTGGGAAAGAAAGTTCATCTTCTAGAAAGCACTTCCAGTGAAAACAATTTCCAATTTTAAACTAAGATCATCTCTGAAATCTAGATAAACAGTTAACCTATTTAAGCAAATGCTATTTTCACTTATAAATTCCATTACATGAAAAACTGTATTATGTCATGTGTCATTTATAAATATCTAAAATAAAAATTATATAAATATGCAATGACACTAAGGTTTCATATAGTCGTATATAATATCAAATACATATTCCCATCAGTGTGGTGAAGTTATATTTCAATGTTGTCTTTAAAGATATGTATGTTTCTTGTTATGTAGGTCTTGCTTTTTCTTGGTCTTAACCATCCAAAGAAAAGTATAAAAATGACCTATAAAAAGTAAAGCCATAGGGATGGTGAGATGGCTCAGTGGTCTAAAGCACCTACTTAGAACAAGCGAAGCAAAGCACAGGGACCGCGGTTCAATCCCCCAGCACCACATGCCAGCCAGCCCCGCCCTCTGGTGGGCTGAACTGGCCACACACATGCAAAATAAATAAATAAATAAATAAACAAACAAATAAAAATAAAAAATTTTTTTTAAAAGTAAAGTCATATTAATATGCTGAGCTGTGAAAGGCTCAAGTCAACAACTTCTGACATTGCCAGTCCTATGGATAACCCACTACTATCATGGACAACTGGACTATATGGGATTATTTTGCTGAATTCATGCACCTACAATATTTAAAGGGCAATGGAATGCTCATCTCTGACAAAACTAAACAAAAAAAAGGGGATACAAAGGAAGGACCATTTTGTATGTGTATATACAAAATAGTTAGGATAGATATACAGCTACTTTCTCTTAATTCAATGAAAAGAAAGATTTGTACTAATAGTGTTCGGACAGGCTATCATGTCTGCATCTTGTACTATGAATAACCACTATGAAGACAACAATATGCAATACATTAATTATTGAAATTGTCCTACTTATCTGTTTTGAAACTGTCTCACTGCTGTTTGTTTCTCAATAAAATTAGAAAATAAACATAAATATATGTATGTTATGCAGGTACATATATTGACAAACAAAAATAAGTTTAATTCTCCCCACTGAAATTAAGGGAAAAATTTTCCCTCCTTCACTTTCCCTTATATAATTTGCCTTAGAATACTTATTACAAAAACTTTTCATGTTTTTGACATGTACCCCTCAGAAGACTGCATATGACTCTAGTCGTTTTGTGACCCACTGGTGTTCTTTTTAGGAGCCTGAGCAAGACACTGTTGGAGACAAATACCAAGGGGAATAGCTCCCTGACCCTTAGTTTTAGCAGGGAGTTTAAGCCTCCTTCAGTGAGCAACTTGCTCTGCTCTGCAAAACTGCTTCCTGTCAAAAATATATGAGAAGTTTATTTTACCTCAGAATAAATTCTCCTAACACAGGTAGTCTCCCCAAGTGCTATGGCAAAGTTAGGATGCAATCTGTGCAACAAAATATGTTATCATTCTCCCTAATTGGGGATTAGTGATTGCTCATCTTGTTAACATGTTTGTAATATATATATGGAATATTTGGTGAAGCTCCTTTATATATATAATCGTGAAGTTCTTTTCTGTCTTGGTAATTCTCTTAATGAGAGTGTCTATGACTCATTTCTCATTCTGGTTTAGTGCTTAATCATTAAAAAACTGTTGTCTTATGGATTTCTAAAAGATGTGAAGATCTTGTTTTTATAAGCAGTCTCCAATAATAGGCTTATTTTTGAATTCATTTAGGCTATTATTATGACAATGAATTGTCCCAAGGAAGAGGAAAAATACCATAGGAACATGCCACTTGCTTCATTCATTTCTCTGAAAAACTGAACTATACGCTAGTTTTAAAAAGGAAATGCCATGTATTATTGCACAATAGAAATTTCTACTGTGATTTGCACATGTGTAACCTACAATTGATGAACTAGAATCTTTGACCAAAAGGATTCAACTAAGTGAACTAGCTTATCACAGCCCACACATATACAAACAAGACGAAGTTCTTTCTATCACAGATCATGTATTACTGGGAAATACAAAACTCCAAGAAACTACTAATAGTGATTTAATAAACTAATTTGCCTGTTTAAAGATAGTGCTTATATGTTCTCATTTTATTAAAAGTACTAATCAGATTTTAAAAAACAATAATGATATATAAAACAAAATTATCTAAAAGCAGGAAACATTAAAACCAGATTAAATAAATTTCATGTAAACAAAATATGAAAACAACTTGTTTTTTAAAAATGGACCTTTACCTGCTAGCATTTTGTTCGAGCTGTTCATCGATGTCACTGAAGATCTGCTTACACTCCAAGTCTCCAGGAAATGAATTTAGCAAACACTGTAGGTCAAAAGAAGTGTGGGCATATTCATCTACACAATCCATCCTGAGGAGCCAAGAATAAATAACGAAACGTCAGTCACCCTAAACTGGAGAGGGAAAAAAAGAAAGCCACCTCATGTTGTGATACTAAATCACAAATAACAACTTCTATTTGTAGACACAATGAGATATAGGAGTGGGAAGAACTAAGGTACTATTAAACTAGGTAGAGTGTTATGGTATATCAGTTCAGGATGTCTAACTTCATTTTCATTTGTGTGAGGTTTGAAAGCTGAACAATATGCAAGCCCACGAGACCACTTGCATCTGGCTGCATCTCACAGTACCAGACCTGCAGAGGAAACCAGCAGGCCCAGCGACCTTTGTAAACGGGGTGAGTGCAGCTGGACCTCGATATGCCTTGTCAAGTTCTGACCTGTAAATTGTAGCCTCAGATGTGAAAAGCCTCACCCTCAGCGTATTTCTCTATGAAGCAGCAACATTCCCCTGGGGTTCCTCTTGTACCCCAGAAGTGAAGAACATGTTACTCCTTCGGGCATGTGCATACTGCCACTCAGGAAGCCTGGAGCACTCCCTTACTCTTTAGATATAATTCACTGACCTTTCAATAGGCAGCAGGCTCTGCTGTCCTGGCTGGGCTACAAATGCAAAGAGTTAAAGCAGTCCCTGCCTTCAGGAAGTATTTACTCTGTGGGGAAGAGAGATTTCTGAAATGCACAAACAGATACATTCTGTAAGAGAGCACACGAAGACAAGTGTAGCACAGTCACAGGCCAAGCTAAAAATGGGCACTGTGGCAGGGTGCAAGGTGAAGACACTGAGGAAAAAGAAATAGGTGGGAAAACGCGCTTCTTCTTTACTTTGGCTGAGAAGCAAGCACGTGATTCTACCTGGACACAAAAGTAGCTTAGAAAGGCTCTCAATGTCTGCGCAGCGGACTCCAGAACACACTACCCTATGGACAGTGTTCTGGTGTGGCTCTTAAATCTCCCCAGTGCCCAAGTGTTAGTTATTTCTCAGGTTTTTTTTGTCCCAGCTGTGGAAAGTTGACTAACAGATAGAGGTCATCGGCTTTGACTGGCAGCTTGCCTTTCTCTCATTATCATTCGTTTGATAAATTTCCATTCTTCTCTTTCAGGTTATTGATTTGCATCAAATGTCTGAATGATTGTTGGCTGTCCATTCTTACTTACCAAGAAAGTCTTACTTACCAAGAAAAGATTACTTTGGTCTTTACATGGTAGTTAGTGTAGGGGTGCAGAACCCCCCAAAGTATGGTGTTTTGGTACACTGAGCACTTTGAATTAAAGGAACTGGGAAGACCTTAGAAGTTGCTCAGCAGCATGATCTGACATTTATTTTTTTTCCATGTGAAGGAGGGGCTGTTTTTCTTCAAGTTTTATTCTTATTAGTACATAATGATTGCATTCAGCATGGGGAGTTGATATATGTTCATAATGATTATTTTTATGTAGAAAGGGGCTCTTTCTGAAGTTCCTTTTTCTGAAGAAAGCTCTTCCAAAAGAACTACAGTACAATTGTCTTGTCTTGCACCTCCTTCCTGACAGCTCATCAGTGAAGACTGAACTCCTATTTGTGGCAAAGAGGACTGAATAATGTCACACCTACCGACTCAGGCTTTGCCGCAGTGATGGTTTTCAGTCCTACCTAGCTTCCACAGTTGATCATTTACAAACTAGTGTCCCACTAATTTACCCTAAATATCATTTTCTATTCATCAAATTGCCAGGTCTTCCACATCCCTCCACACTATGAAGAATGTATGAGACACTAAACTAACCTTCCTGTGATGTTTCCAGGCTACAATAATAAATTTGAGTCTTTTCCTCCAAGTAAACTTTGTATCCTTAGTTTCTTGCAGCAAATTTAGACTTAAACTTTGGGGGAGGGGAGGAATTCCCTTCACTCTTACACTAGTCAGGGTTTTCTCCACCATTTTAAAGACTGTTTTACCCAAAAGGTCTTTTCCTCCTGTGTAGGAAGGCTGATTCAGACACTATGAATGAATACCTGTGGACAAGCTTCTCTCGAGGATTTTTAAATAGAGAAAGCATTTAGTTGATGATGTGCACAAGTAGCCCAGCGAACCTTGTACCTATTGGGGAAAAACTAGCTTTTCTCACTCAGGGTTTAACCTGCCTCTTGATTCTCTCGCAGGTGTTTTCCAAGGCCGAGAAGTGAGGTGGGTTCTCACACTCTGATCAACAGCACTTCTCTGTGCCCTAATCACCTAGATATTCAGCTCTGTTCGGATTCTCAGAAGGCAATGGCAGCAGCACAGTTGAAGGCAGGTGTAGCCCTGTGCAGCTCCTTGAGAACATTACCTCAGCCCTTTTGCTCCTTGCTGTCTATCCGCAGCCTACTTCATGCTTTACTTTGTCTACGCAGTTGGCATTCTCACAGCATGGGTCTTACTACAAGTTCCTCTTACATAATGTAGAGTGTGGTTTTCATACCTCTTGTATCTTTACTGCAGAGCCGCTCTACCTTCTGTCTCTCAGATATATGCTAATGGTACCTTGTACTGCTTTCAGTGCTGCTTTTCTCCATGTCTTTACATATTTCATAGGGATTTCAGGAGGAAGGAATAGCAAATAAGTGTCTTTAGTCATTCACCTTCCATACTGTCTTTATTTCCCTTTCCCATTCTTAGGCACATGAAAAAAAATTATGAAATCTGAACATTCAAAACTTAGTTCAGTCTTTGCAAACAGCGGTTGGCCAAAGCAATGCAGACTGCTGATTTGACAAATAAATGTTTTCATATGCAAATGCTGGCAAATTAGATGCAACAGTAAATATTATGAAGTCATTAAACCCAATTAGAAAACTTTGGTCAAGACTGATTGTAAAGAAATTCTCATGAAATAGTGACAGTCTGTCTGTCTTATACCTAATATGCTTTGCTTTTACTTGTGGCTTGGGCTTTCGTTTTGTTTTTTTGTTTTTGTTTTTGTTTTTTCAATGTTTTTGAGACAGGGTTTTGTTATGTACTTCAGACTAGTCTTGAGCTCACTTTGTAGCCCAGGCTGATCTCAAACTCACAACTGATCTTCCTGCCTCCCAAGTGCGGGGATTACAGGCATGAGCCACCACACCCAGCCTAAAATTTTAATCTGTTTTATAGAACTCTTTCTGGAAGACAACACATGACATTCAGTTCTGACAAGGAGTCACATGTGTTGAGAGCCACTGCGCGGGATCTGGGTAGTTTGCAAGTAAGAGGTGAGTGCTCCGCACAGGCTCTGCACAGGCTCCGCACCTCAGTTCTGTTCTGCTTTTTCCTTTTCACAGCACATACTCAACTCTTTACAGTTCAAGGCTTTTGATTCATAAAAAAAAAAAAAAAACCTTCCAAAAGATAACAGTAGAGATGATGAGAGTGAAAGTGGTCATTTTCAGCTTAAAGCAGATATTTCAGAGAAATTAATGATTAGATTGGCTAATAATTAAAAATGTAGTGAGGGTATGAAGAGATCACTTCAAGTTTTTTTTCGCAATATGCCATTAAATATTCTGGCAAGTTTTAGACATGAAAAAGGAAATCAAGTGCTACCTGAACAACATAGCAAGACCCCTTTCAAAACAAAAAGATTTAAAAAGGGAGGGGATAGAAGAGGGATTGAGGATGTGGCTCAGTGGTAGAAGACCTCTGGATTTAATTCCCATTATGAAGGAACAAAACAAGACACTACGTTATGTACAAAAGAAGAAGCATTTTTGGTAGTTACAAGCCATTGTTTGCCTGAGTGAATATGAATGAATGAATATATGAGAGACTACTGATAAGGTTTTCATTTAGCACATTTAGTATAACTCTATACTGGGTTATGTTTTTGTTGTTGCTGTGGGAATTGTTCCATTTTTGAGACAATGTCTTGTTATGTATGTAGTTCAGGCAGTCTTGATCTCAGCCTTACAATCTGCTCACCTCAACCTCCTAAGTATGGTGATCACAGGCATGTGCCACTATGCGTGGCTTGTTTTGCTTTTTATAAGGGAACCCATTCTAAACCCACTGCTATAAGACAACACATTCTTTTTTTTGTGGCCAGATCAGCCCATCCTGGGGGCCAAGCTGGTATGGAATGTGGTGCCAGGGATCGAACTGTGGTCCCTGCATGTTTGCTTAAGCAGGCTCTTTAGACTGCTGAGCTATCTTGCTGGCCTGAAGACAAGACATTCTTGCATTTGTGATTATACTGAGATGGAACATGAAGACACAAGTGACACATAATAATTAGGTATGTAATGTAAGACTCACCTTGCTTATTCCAGACACTTGGTCCTAGATAGTAATGATGCAGCAAATTGATTAAGTATATTGAAGGAAACTACAAACCCCTTTTAAGTTCCCCTCAGAATGTACATAGCCAAAAATGTATATAAGCTGGGCATGATGGCTCATGCCTGCAATCTCACCGCTCAAGAGGCAGAGGCAGGAGGACTGCAGCAAGTTTGAAGCCAGCCAGGGCTAAATACTGAGTTCAAGGCCAGCTAAACTACATAGTGTGATGCTGTCTCAAAAACAAAAATGTGCATTGCATTCAAAATTATCTAAATACATTTTAAAAAATGCTGACCTCTATATACTATTCATGCTTAGCTATAACTCACACTGATTAATGTGTGGCAAAGTGGCTGGGGAAATAGGTGTGACTCTTTAGTAACAAGGTCTCAGAACATTTATACAGAACAGTTCCCAAAGCTCTGCACATAGACTTCTCCTGAGAACTCCAGCAGGTTTTCAGTAAGGTGGCCTAGACCTCAGCCTGAGGCATGGGATCCCAGCCCCACCTCTCAGGACCCGGATACAAAAGTTACTGTGGGTTTCCTCAAGATTTTGGCAGTATAAAAGAATACAGACACCAAGAAGAGCTTGTTCTTGTGCCTTCCTCAGGATAGCCCACTCTGCTTTCTCCAGGTGTTCTTTTATCTTCCTTTTTTCTCTTTTACTCTACCAAGCTCACTCTGCAAAGCCAGTTTCTCCCTCACACTTCACTTTTTCAAATAAACTTTGCC